ACGTGAAAGAGATGTTCTACGCTAAACTTACATCTGTGGTAGACAGCTGTCCCCGGCGGGATATTCGCATTGCTCTGGGTGACTTCAATGCGGTATCTGGCTGTGATTGAGCTGGCTATGAGATGTCTGTCGGTCCCCATGGTTCAGGAGCTGATGCCAGTAGCGAATATAGCCTCCTTTTCCGGGACTTTGCTAGGTTCCAGAAATTTAGGATTTCTGGCTCCTGGTACCAGCGCCCAGACCCACATCGCTGGACATGGTACAGTGATACGGGTAATGCAGCCAAGGAGATCAACCACATACTCGTTAGCACTCGTTGGAGGATCCTTCAGAATTGCAGGGTGTACAGGAGTGCTGAGTTCTGTGGTACTGACCATAGATTGGTTGTGGATACCCTCCGGGTCCACTTCAAAACTCCCCAGCGGGCAAATGATCACCCTAGGGTGTTTCAATTGGACAGGCTGAGAGAGGGGGAGTGTGCCCGGGGGTTTGCTAAGGCAATCTCTGATCGTTTCGCAATGCTTGACAGTCTGACAGACCCTGTTCTTCTGAGGGATACCTTTATCCGTGAAACGATTGATGCAGCTCAAGATACGATTGGTGTACGCCCGAGAGCAGTACAGAATTCCATCTTGCAGGAGACACTGGAAGCCACAGATGTATGTCGTGCGGCTCGTTTGACAGGGGATCGGGAATTGCACCGTTGGGCTGAGTATTTTGAGCAGCTGTACCAGGTTGACCCACCAGCAGTTAACTTGGATGCGGGTAGTGTCGAGATCCCGCTGCCGGATCCACCCATCAGTGAGGACCCTTCCTCCCTAACTGAAGTTAGGGGGGCGATTTCCAAACTGAAGAATGGTAAAGCAGCGGGTATCTGCGGCATACCAGCTGAACTGTTAAAGGCTGGTGGTGAACCTATGACACGGGGGTTACATGCTGTCCTAGCTGCCATCTGGCGGTCCGGTTCCGTTCCTCCTGACCTGTTGAGGGGTGTGGTGAAAATTATTTGATAAAACTTTTACTTCTGCATCTGGGGATTGGTTCACAAGTTCCTTTTTCTTATTTTATCTGGTTTATTGATGATTCACAAGAGGTAAAATGGTCACTAGTAATCATATATTGGTCATTGCCATCCCATGCCAAACCCAGCGCCACGGTGAGTAATTTCTTTTCCTGTCAAGAATTAACATAGTGGTGAAATGATCCTGTGAAGTCAATTTTAGTATATATATTTCATATAATGCTTTGTGGACAAATCCTTTCTTTCCAGGGAATGGTTTTGATGACCTGTCTTCTGCCAGGAGAGGATGGCGAGAGTAGTGCTTCATTTGATTTATTAATGCAAACATACCCTGAGCCTGATGAATATTATAGCTCTCTCTTGGAGTAAACATACAAGCATCCCAGGAATTATTAATGATCTGCAGAACAGAGGTTAAAGTAGAGAGAGCAAGCTTTTTTGTTGATAGGTTCCTCCACAGTGTGCACAATGCACGAACATCAAATAGATCCGTTGCTGCATTCTTAATGAGATACTTGCATTAAATGATTCTGCAATAGATACGACTGAATTTGTGCTAGAAAGGAGTCACACTTATGACCTCTTTAATAAACATATTGCCAAGATATGTTTGTGGCTCACAATATTTTTAAGCAATCAGCTTTAGACATATGAAGATTTATATGCCTTTAAATGTTTTCCTTGGCATTTAGATCTCAAACGTTCCAAGTAAGCTAACTGCACTGGCAATCTTGAGAGTCTTTAGCTAGGAGATAAAATTATCAATTAATCAAGTGCTAGTATTGTCGAGGAATGTCCAGATGTTGCCTGTTTATCAGAAATTAATTGTAATGAGTTTGAGGAAAACAGCAAATTATCTTGTGTTGTCACAAGAAAGATAAATATAGTTAACAAGTTTGGAGGGTATAGTAGTACGATAACTAAAGAGGAAGTAGCTTGTGGCTTGGGCTATTTATTTGTTTTTTTAATTTTTTAGGCAGTTTATGTGACATCAGAGAGGAACTTTGAACAGGCATTTGTAAAAAAAAAAAAAAACATTCCACAAGCCAGAAGTATTGGCATGGTCTAAGAACATTTTGAAATAAGTATGACCAATATTTTTGCCCCTTTGAAAACAATGACTGAAATTGTGAAACATGATCGAGAGACTAATTCCCAGAAGATAAAATATAACATAAATAAAGCTGAAACTGAGCGTTTCTTTTCTTACCTTAGAAATCATTCGTTTCACAAATATTTGCAATTACATGAATACAGTTTTACAGTATGGCTACAGTTTTATCTGCATAATACTGAAACATGTTCAGGACATGCTAAGCATTAGCAGATGGGCATATTGTTTAACACATGATTACACGTGTCATGGC